TCCTCCTTCTGGAAGTCATGGACTTAATGGAGATCCTTGTGGAAGTCCTTTACTTATTCCTCCTTCCTCGGATTTTTGGTTTCCTATTATTATTTGGTAGGATCTATTATTTAAAAAATTAGATATCCATCTGAGAGGAGTACCCGTTATACCTAGTTTAGCTGCTTTTATTATTATTGCATCATGGTTTACTTTGTCAAAAGCTTTTTCTAAATCTAGAGATGCTATTAGGGCATATTTTTTCTCTTTATAAGCTTTTTTAATATGAAAATCGATTATTTGTAATGTATCTATTGTTGAGCTATTGGGTCTGAAACCTGTTATGTCTTGACTTAGTTTGTTATTTTTTTCAAGCCACCATATTAGTCTATTGTTGATTATGCTTTCTAGCATTTTCCCTATACATGAGATTCTACTTATGAATCTATATGATTTTTTATTTGCTGGATCTTTATCCGGTTTTAATATCGGATTTACGAGTGATTTTTTGAATTCTATAGGATATTCTCCTTTTATCCACAACTGATTATAGATGTTTAAAATTTTTTCCAGTAGGTTATTTGGGATATTTTTATAAAATTCATAAGGGATACTGTCTGGGCCACAAGCTTTATTATTTTTTGTCTTTTTTATTACAGAAATTAATTCTTTTAATGTTATCTCCTTTTTTAATCCGTTCGTACTTGGCAATTCTATTAAACTTTTAAATTCTGATTTTGTTATTAAGCATTTTGTTTTTGTGTTTATTATACTTTGGTATTCTTCTTTTAAGAGTTTTAATTTCTTTTTTGTTTCTTGTATTGGCTGATCATTATCTATTAGCGGGTAATTATTTATTCTATTACTGCCTGAAAGTTTCTTAATAAAATTCCATATTTTTTTGGTTGGGGTTCTAAAATCTAATGAGTGGCAGAAATTTGACCAACTTGTTCTTTTTTCCTTTTCTATTGTATCTCTTGCTATTATTTGAAGTTTTTTGTATTCTATTCTGTTTTTTTCATTAGGATTTTTTCTCCATTTATTGAATGATTTGTTTCTTTGTTTATTACTTCTTTACATTTTTATTCCACCATGGTTTTGTTGGTTTATTTTTACTATTATCATTATTTAATCTGAAATGTTTCATCCCTATGTTTTTTATTATTTCTGTTATTTCGTTCAGTGATTTTATATTGTCCACATCTATTTTTTGTATTTCTTCTTTAAATTTTATCCATCCTTCTTCATTGAATTTCCATTTTTCCTCTTTAACTATTGTTTCTCTATTGTGATTAATGTCTCTTATTATGATTGGAAGGTGATCGCTTCCTCCATATATTTTTGCTTCTACTTCTAATTTACTCAGTTCTGGGGTGCCCAGAACTAGGTCTATTGTAGACCCTTTACCTGTTTTCGGATCTATTCTAGTAATTTGTCCTTTTGGAGTTAACATCAGTATGTTATTTTGATTTATTAAATTAAACAAGTTTATTCCAGTGATATTTGTTATATTTTGGTTTGTTTTTGAATTCCATAGCGGATGATGGGCATTAAAATCTCCTATTATGAGTTTTGGTTTTTCTATTTGGTTTATGTAGTGTTCCATATCTTTTTGATTTACTTTGTTACATGGGTTGTATATTAAAAGTAAGTGTAGCCATCCTCTTTTATAGCTAATCTTTATAGCTAATGTTTCGATGTTTTTATTTTGTAATCATTTAGATTAATCTTCTTGTATTGTATATCATTTTTTATACAAATTGCTAAGCCGCCTCCCCTTTGTTCTATTCTATTATGATATCATAATCTTTTATATCAAATTTGTCATTATTTGTAAGCCAAGTTCGCAAATTGCGAATATCTCCGGGTTTTCTGTTTGAATTAGATATTCTATATCTATTTTTTTGTTTATTACAGATCTAGCGTTCCAGTAGTTTTTAGTCATTAAACCAAACTGATATTTGTTTTAATATTGGAGCAACTTCAGTTATTATCTCTGTTATTATTTCAATTATTGTTTTGTCTGATTTGAATTTTTCGGTTATATTAGTTATTAATTTGAAAATTCCTTTTGTTATTTCAACAAATGAAGGTTTTTCTTCTTTGTTTTTTTTTTCTTCTTCTTCTTCTTCTTTTCTTTTATTGTTGGGGTTTGTTTAGTGGTGTTGGTAGAGACCATGTTATGGGGGATTCTGTGAGTTTCTTGTCTTTTATGTTTTGTTCCTTTGTGTGTGTTTTTTTTTTTTCTTGACTGTTTTTTTTTTTTTTGTTGATTGAGCTCTGTTTGTGTTATTTTTTTGTTTTGTGGTGTTTTTTGTGGGTTATGTTATTTGTGTGTTAGTATTTTAGCATATGTTTGTGTTATGTTTGGGTTTGTTTGTTGTATAGTGTTTGTGTTATCATCTGTTTGTTGTTTGTAATCTGTTTCTGAGTTGTGTATTTCTGCTGTGGTAATTATTATGTTTTTTTGTATTGGTTGATTCTGTTTTGTGTTGTTGGGTTTAAGTGATGGAAAAGTTTTTTTACTTCTAAGTTATTTGGTGTTGTGTTTTTTTTGTTTATTTCTTGGGCTTTTTGATGAATTGGGCAAGTTTTATCGTATGCTGTGTGGTTACCTTTACAGAAAAAGCAATGAGGTGGATTTTTGCAATCTTTATATTTGTGATCTTTTTGGCTGCATTTACTACATCTTATTTTGTTTTTGCATGATATCAACCCATGGCCATACATTAGACACTTAAAACATTTGGATATTGGGAATGTGTATTGATATACCTTATAACTTATATGACCTATTGTTAATTTGTTAGGTAATGGACCTCTGAATGTTATTTTCAGGGATTTAGTAGGAATCCATTTATTTTCTCCTGATATTTTACTTGGTTTATGAATCCTTGTTATATCTTTTATGTATGTATCTGGCCCCCATAGTATCTTGGTTTTTTCTTTGATTTCTTCTATTTCTATATCTGTTTCTACTGGGGATATTGTTCCATAGGAGCATCCTTGATCTTTATTTGATGCAGGTTGCTTACAGTTTTTCCCAGTTGCCTAGGTATTTAATTTCATTGAGAGGTCCAATTTTTGATATATCTACTACCTCGAATCTAATGGCTTTTCCATCTCCTATTACTCTTAATGAATTTTCAATTATGTATTTTTGAAAAATTGATTTATTTATGGCCTCAGTTAACCTTATTGGATGGTTGAAGTTTGAGGTATTTGATTTGTTTGTTATTTGTATTAGAATAACATTTTCTTGAGGGGTACCTTGAGTTACTGTTCCGTAGGTATGGTTCTCCGTGGTCTGTTTGCCGGTTTCTTCGTTTCTTGCTTGTTTGGTGTATGGGCAATCTTCGCTATCACTGTCACGTCTTCTGCTGTTTTTTCTGGTGTTCGTATATCATTTCATTGTCTTTTCCAGGTTCTTCACCTGGATCAAGATCAAAGTTTCCGTTCATAAGCTTTCACTTCACTAAGTTCGGTACTTTTTAAAGATTGATCACTCTTACACGTTGATGTTCACTCTTCAAAGTCTCGACGACCGTTCTCATTATCTCTTCTTCATCAAACAGCTCCATGTTTTGTTTACAAAATGTGTTGTAGGTTCGACAGAATATTATATAATTCATATAAGAGTCTACATGCTTATTTCTTACCAAGTACACATACTTCCATATGAATGGTAATCACACATATCATAATAATTGTAGTCAGTATCGTTAATAAAAAGTACCGTTTTATAAATAATCAAACTAGTATGACGTTCGAAGCCAGAGTTGACAGACGAAGGAAAAGTATGGTGGGAGGTCCCTTAGCGAACACGCATTTTCTGCAGATTTCTATAATATTCCGCGTCGTTTGATTCGTAATTTCGAAATCCAATAACTAACAGCTTGTATTCATTGCAATATCATAATGCAACATCAATGGGATAATGGTTGATTATCGTAAAATAAATGAAATAAAATCAGGTTCGTCAACTTTAGCAGAATTGCTAAGAATAGGGGTGGAGTCAAACATTTGGCAAACATGCGTAGAAGCATCGGCAATGTTGCTGTCGCGATCGGCCCGGAGAAGTCGCAAATTAAAAAAAGACACTTTCTAGTCTAGTCCTACAGCCCGGTGACGGCGGAAAAAAAAGGCCTTTTGACGAGTACTTCTTTCATATGCACATATATATGACGGATAGAGAGAGAGAGAGAGAATTATAAACAACTGCTACTGTTTCTATAGGCTTCCTGTCTCTCCTTTATCTCACGACAAATCTGAAATATGATACATCAAGTGATTTCTTTTCCACAGACTTTTAAGGGTTAAATCTCTCTCTCTCTCTGTCTCTCTCTCTCTTTCACTCTCTCTTCTCTCCTCTTCTCTCTCTCTCTCTCTTCTCTCTCTCTCCTCTCTCTCTCTCCTCTCTCTCTCTCTCTCTTCTCTTGATAATTTCTATCTGACAGTGCATCAAAACGCTCGATTTTTTTTTTTTTTTAACAAACCATATGGGAAGCATCACCCGGGAAGTTCCTGAATTCCTTAAAAGATTCAAATCGGTTGACAGACTTGGAATTCTTCTGGGAATCGAGTCACAGCAAGCAGTCAGGATCTCCCAA